CAGAGGGCAGCAGTTCATGGCGGGGGGGAAAGGCAGCAAAACAGCAAGAGCAGAAGGGAGGAGTAATAGCAACAAATGGCTACAGAGAGCAAGTTTGTCTCTCTTAAGTTGCATTCAGGCTATCTCCCCCAGGCTGGGTGTAGTATTTACACCAGAATCCCAATGGATCGTGAGTTAATCATACCTTTCCAAGTCTGCCTCATAACTGCATGAGGCTTTGGGGGGACAAATACACACAAACCGTAACACCTGGCTTCTTTTTACCTCTTTTAAGTTGTGTATTTCAGTGGCATTCAGTACACTGGCATTGTTGTGCCACATGACTGCCACTCTTGGGCACTTTTCCATTTTTGTAGCCCCTGGTACCACTAGTGTATCTTTTCTCTCAATGAATTCAACCCTTCTAGGTTCACACGGTGTGTGTCCTTTTGTGTCTGGCTTTTTTCTCTTAGTATCATGTCCTCAGGGGTTATTCATGTTGTAGACTATGCCAGAATTTCCTTCCTTTCTAAGGGTGAGTAATATTTATTATGTGTCTAAGCCACATTTCACCTTGTGAGTAACACTACTGCATGCATGGGTGTGTTGAGTATCTATCTGTGTTTCTGCCTTCGTTCCCTTTGGAATACATCCAGAAAGGGTAAGCCAGTTGGTTTTATGCAAAACAAGTCAATGCTGTGATCCAACTGGTTATGAAGGTACATACCCATAACCCCAATGCCTCAGGAGACTGAGGCAGGAGGATGGCAAATTGGAGGTTAATCTCAATAACCTAAGACCCAGTCTCAAAAATAAACAGGGCTGGGGATGTAGCTCAGTGGTAGAACACTTTTCTAACATGTTCAAGGTCCTAGGTTCAATTCCAGGTACTCTGAAACAAAGCCAAACAAATAAACGAACACAAACTGTGACCCAGTTCCAAGCTACCCAGGCCTCTGGAGTGGTTCTGAAAACCTCTATTGCTGATTCTGGGGACAATTTGGAGAGAGTGTGACTGAATATGAGTGATGCCTGTCCCCACCATGCCAGACTGCTCAGGGTTCCAGAACTGTCCTGTTTTCTTGGGAAGGAATGACCCATCTGTCACTGGAAGTGTGCAAGCAGCCCAGGCTGGCCTTGAACTCACAGTGATCTTCCTGCCTCAGCCTCCCATGTGCTGAGATTATAGGTGTGTGCCACCATGCCTGGCAGGGTGATTCTTCTTTGGAAAGAGACTGGATTTGGTTGAATACCAAGAGACTGCGCTGCTTTAAGGCTGTAAGGTCTAGGCCCTCTGAAATTCTGAATTGGTGTACTCAGGGCTTACTTGCCACATTTCCGGGTGCAGGTGCCGTGCATGGTGGGGAAGTGGGGCGTGGTCACGATCGCCAGGCAGGACCGTCTGTGCTCTGCCTGGACCTTTCCCCAGCCTCATGGGCGCTGGCCCGCACTGCTTTGTGCCTGGCAACTCAGCTTTCCCACTCTAGCTTTCTGAGGTGTGAGTGGGCTGCCATGGTCCCCAGGTGTGCGCATGGAGCTTGTTTTGGCAGTCTCTTGAAATTCTAATAAGCTCACAAAACCCAAGACTTGGTTCCTACTGTAGTTGTTTCTGTAAAATCTCAATCTCAATCTTTTTATATGTGTCAACTCAGCTGAATCGTGGTATAATTTGTGCACTGTTATACAGACCTTTGTCAAGTGTTACCCAAATCCTCCTGGTGTCTGCGGGGCACCTGGTCCCCTGATTTCCTGCTGTGAGTGTGGCCTCAGCACACTTCTGTGAATCTGTGCATATGTGTGTGTGCTTGTGCATGTATGTGTGTGTGCTGGTATGCCTGTGCTGGTGTGTGTGCATGCATGTGTGCCTGTGCTGGTGCATGCGTGTGTGTGTGTGTGTGTGTGTGTGTGTGCTAGCGTGCCTGTGCTGGTGTGTCTGAAGGAAGGGCTTCAGGTAGGAGCCGCATGGAGCTGCGGCGGGGTAACGGCATGGGCTGGTGCATTTTTCTGCCCTTACCTATCTCTGGCTGCCCATCAGCCCCGGAAGTCCTAAGTCTCTGGTGTCAGGAGTACTTGGATTTTGACCTTTATGAGGCAGAGTGAATTGAAAGGCCAAGCTCCGGGGAAGTGGGACAGTGGTAACAAGCCAGTCAGGGCTGAACTGGCACCAGGATTCCAGTGTCAGGGTCTCTTGGTCTCCTTGCTTTCCTCTGTTCCTCTGTCCTCGCTGGGGTGTTTTGATCCTTGGGCATTTCTTTTTCTTCTTTTTTTCTTTCTTTCTTTTTCTTTTTCTTTTTCTTTTCTTTTTTTTTTTTTTTGTATCAGGAATCAAACTCAGGACCTTGCATTTGCCCGGCAGGCATTGTGCTGCTGAGCTATATCCCCTGCACAATGGGCATTTCTGAGGGAGACTCCTTAATGGGGAAGTGGGCTGGGAAGCAGTGTGGGTACATGGGCACAGCCTAGTCCTTGCCACACAGACCAGAGTTCAAATCTCAGTCCCTCTCTCCCTTGCTTTGTGATTTTAACCATACAGCCTTTTTGAGTCTCAGCTTTCCCATCTGAAAATGGAAGTTTACAAAAACACTTGCGGATGTCAGTGAGGCACCGTGTGGGTCAATGCTTGTTGCTGTGCCGGCGGCTAGCCCTTAGTATATGGCCGCTGTCACTTTGATTATTTGAAGCTCAGCACTGTTAGTGACTTGCTATGTGACGGCTGGTGAGTTTCTTAACTTCTCTGGTCTAAAATCCACATCTGTAAAATGGGGCTAATAATCTGCGATGTTAGCGTATGCCTTGTGTTGACAAAACATTTTTCTGCCTTATTTTAATTCTCTGCCAACCCCCACGCCCACCCCGACGGCTGTGGGCTTGAGTTAGCACCTGCAGGAAGTAACCAGAATAATTTCATTCCCCAAGTGTATATTATATTTATCTCTTTTTTGTCTTTTTTTTTTCTTTTGGCAGAACTAGGGATTGAACTCAGGCCCTTGCACTTGCCAGGCAAGTGCTTATTCTACTGAGCTATCTCCCCTGCCCCTATACTTGGTTTTTGTGGGGGAGAGAAATGGATAAGAAGAGGTTTTCCCAAACTGGGCCTGGTGGCAATGCCTCTAATCCCAGCTCTCCAGGAGGCTGAAGCAGGAGGATCACAAGTCGGAGCCCAGCCTAGGCAATTTAGGGACTTAGGGAGACCCTGCCTCAAAGGATGTGGATGTAGAGCAGCGAGAAGACCCTAGGTTCAATCCTCAGGACCGCCAAAACTAAACACCAGGATAGGAAATATAACCAAAAAAAGAATAAGAAAACAAGCAAGCTTTCCGCAGGCGTTTTCAGTCTAGGAAAAGGCGAGTGGGGAAGACAGCCGCACCTACCACCCGTTGTGGGTGGTCGGGGAGGAAGGTCCCCTCTGGCCTCTTCTCTGCAGAGCAGGCGCTTCTGTGTGAGGGAAGGGAGTCCTCCCAGACCGTCACCATCCCTAACAAGGAAAGCCTGCCCCTTCGGCTTTGCTTCTGTCACTAGGCCCCTGCAAGCGTGTTTGCATAATGTCTTTCTGCATAGGACGTTGTGGTTCGTGCTTCCCAGGTTCTGAGCTACCTGGCTGGGGCTTTGGAACCAACGTATTTGGGAAGATAAAGTCTACCAGAGGGAGCGGGTGCGGGACTGTTTCTTCAAAGGCTGGGCTGTGAATGGGGCTCCCACAAGGGTGAGTTTTCTTTGGTCACCAGCTGTAAATGCTGTGGCCTCAGGGGCACCCGAGGAGCCGGGGCTGCCCCCTGGGCCCACGACCCGCGAGGGAAAGGTTAGACTGCCCCCTGCTGTCCAAACGTGGAAAAGAGTCCTGGGGGGATTACCACAGACATTTTAATTGCATGCGTGCAAGATATTCACTATGGGCTTTACTGTCCTCCTCTCTCTCCCTTTATCTCTTCTTTGTCGTTGTCGTCATCGTCGTCATCCTCCTCCTCTTCTTCTTTTTCTTCCCTCTTTCTCTTTCTTGCAGCGTTGGGACTGAGGCCAGGCCTTAGCACAACTAAGCAAGCTCTCTAACACTGAACTCTACCCCTAATCTCTTCTAAATGTTTTTCATTTGGAGACAGGTTCTCACTAAATTGCCTAAACTGGTTTGGGACTTAAGATTCTCTTGCCTCGGCTCTTGAATAGCTGAGATTATGAGTGTGTACCACCACTCCTGGCATGCTGGCTGGTTTTTTTTTTTTTTTTTTTTTTTTCTTTTTTGAAACAAGGTCTCACTATGCAGTTCAGGCTCACTTTGAACTCATTTTGTAGCCCAGGCTGGCCCTGAACTGGCAGCGATCCTCCTGCCTCAGCCTCCCGATTACAGGGATTACAGGCGTGCGCCACCGCACCTGGCTGTTTTCAATTTTGGCATGTGTCCAATCCTACACGAAACACTTTATATCCATTTGACAGGTAGTATACGAGCTCCGGTTAAGTGCTAGACACTGATTCTGTTTCTAAGAATCACACAGTGAGCAAAGCAGATGGAATGGCAGGTCCTGTGGGAAAGGGGAGGTAGGCAGGTGACACTTGAGGCACATCAAACGATAGTGAGGAGGAGAGATGATCCGAGGCGTTAGAATTTAGAGTCTGTGTTTGATCCTCACATCTGCCTTGTGAGGAGTAGCTTCAGTTAGGATTCCTGCTTTATAAATGAGGAAACTGAGGTTCAGAGAGGTCCAGCGAGTGGTATAGGGTCACACAGGCACTTGCACCTGAGCTGGCTTTCTGGGCTTCGGTTTTTGTTTTTAAACTGCTCTAAGGGGTGAACAGTGTGACCCCAGCTCTGTTTTTCCAAAGACAGAGGAAGCTTTTGAGGTAGTGTCACCTTGTATCTGTTGCTTACTGGCTTCGTAAATTACTGGGTCCTGTGTGACCCAGCTTCCCATCCAGCTTGGTTTTTAGAGGGGTGACATCTGGGGAGGTTCCCTGGGCCTTGGAGATACCAAGTGTGCAGGGAGCTGCATGCTGCAGTAGGGAGTGACAGTGCCTCTTGTCCTGTCTCTGCAGGCCTCCTGCCTCTGCGGTTCTGCCCCCTGCATCCTGTGTGCCTGCTGCCCCTCCAGCCGCAACTCCACCGTGAGCCGCCTGGTCTTCACTGGCTTCCTCCTCCTGGGGGTGCTGGTGTCCATCATTATGCTGAGCCCGGGCGTGGAGAGCCAGCTCCATAAGGTGAGAGACAGGGTGCCGGCCCAGCAGTCAGGAGGGCTGGGAGGATCTGGGTTTACTGAGGACCTGTGGGTGGCAGAGAGGGAGAGGAAGGTTTGAACCTCATGCTGGATTCTTATTTCTTATGAGCCACAGTCCCTGTGGAAAAATCCCATGATCATGGCTTGGGGATCCTGTCTCCCCACTTCATCCCAGAATCTCCAGCCTGGCACAGGGCTGCCCCGCCTTGATGCATGCAGATGTGGACTCCCAGGGAGGATGTGGACACCTGGGCTCTCAGACCTCATCCTAGAGGCCTGACTCTAACAGCTGGGCCTTGGATTTGTTCCCCCTAAGCCTCAGGAGATGGCTCTGACTCAGTGGTTGTGCAGGCCACACAGGGAAGTCTGCTTTCACTGTGTAGCATGGTGAGGCCTTGGGGTGACCGCAAGGTGGTCTGTGATTGCTCATGGTTTCCAGGGGCCACCCAGGGGCCTGGGCTTCACATTGCTCTCTGTCTGTGTCCACAGCTGCCCTGGGTGTGCGAGGGGGCCGAGAACACCGGCATTCTGCAGGGCCACATCGACTGCGGCTCCCTGCTGGGCTTCCGAGCCGTGTACCGCATGTGCTTTGCCACAGCCGCCTTCTTCTTCCTCTTCACCTTGCTTATGGTCTGCGTGCGTAGCAGCCAGGACCCCCGCGCTGCCATCCAGAATGGGTGAGGCCCCGCTGATGCTTTTCTTCTCTGCCTCTTTCCAGGAGTCATAGATGCTGCCCCCAGACTCAGGAGCCCCTGAATCCAGGTGGATGTAGCCCAGGGAGCAGTGCATTTGGTTATGCCCATGTCTTAGATGAGGAAAGAAAGCTCAGAAAAGGGCAGCAGTCAGACTGGACCCAAGCAACCCTGCTGTCTGCTTGGCTCGTTCCCTTTTGCCCCTCTGAGCTTTTTAAGGGGCAGAACAGACTTTTTGAGCCTACTCAGTTACATATTTCTCGTTGCTGGGACAAAATACCTGGCACCCAAAATTAAGGAAGAAAACATTTATTTAGCTCACAGTTAATGGTGGTTTCAGTCCATACTCAGCTGGCTTCAAGGCAGAGTGGCACATGGCAGAGGGCAGCTGTTCATGGTCATGGAAAACAGCAAAGAGCAAAGGGAGAGGCAGTGGCTGCAGCTTCTAACAAGCCTCTCTCCCCTCCTTTCATTGTAATGCGGGATTACCCATGCCAGGGCAGAGATAGCATCCACACCCATAATCCCTGCATTGGATTAACAGTTAATCACAAACTCTAGAAGCCACCGCAAAGCTGCATGCATGAAGCTTTGTGGGAACAACTAGACACAAACCATAACACAGCCCATCAGAGAATCCCTCCTTTCCTCTGCATCTGCCTGTCCTTTGGGGTGGCGGTTCTGGGCCCTGGTCTGCCAGCTGGCGGTCCGGCCTCCATCCAGCTCTCTTGCCTCCCCCCATAGGTTTTGGTTCTTTAAGTTCCTGATCTTTGTGGGCATCACCGTGGGTGCCTTCTACATTCCTGATGGCTCCTTCTCCAAGAGTAGGTGGCTTGGGGGGCAATGTGAGCTCAAGGGGAGGATGGGCGTGTGGAGCCTTGGTGGGAGGAGTGTGGGGCAATTCTGGGTCCCTGTCCCTGCCAGGAGGCAGCTGCTGGTGCTGGGACCCACAGCTTCGGGCGCTCAGGTGAGGGGCTCAGTGGGCCCCAGTCTGTCCAGTGCCATACTCTGTGTCTTTGCATGGCTGGCACTCAGGGGCAACCTCGCTTCTCAACGTCCCCAGGGCAGGGCATAGGTCTCCCAGGCTCCTCATTTCCTGACTCTGCTCCCCTCCCCCTGCAGTCTGGTTCTACTTCGGCGTTGTGGGCTCCTTCCTCTTCATCCTCATCCAGCTGCTGCTGCTGATCGACTTTGCGCACTCCTGGAACCAGCGGTGGCTGGGCAAGGCCGAGGAGTGTGACTCCCGCGCCTGGTATGCAGGTCAGTGTCACCAGCCTGCCCTCTGGGGCCCGCACCTCCCGGCAACAGAGCCATCCCCACCCCTGGGTGGGAGCTAAACCTGCCCAGGTACATGGCTAAGAGGAAGGAGAGGCCCAGCTAGGAGGAAAGCAGCCCAGATGGGCCTGGGAGCCCTCAGTGGCACTCGGGATGGGCCACATGGAGCAGTGAGGCATGAGGCCCTCCAGGCTGAGTTCCAGTGACAACTGGTATTGACCCTACAACCCAGCAGGCTGGGTTCCTTGAAGGCTCTTGGGTCCTGTGAAGACATGAGGAAGAAAGGCCGTCCTGGGCACTGGTGTGGCCCCACACCACTGCCAGCCTCCTGACAGGCAGGCACTGATTTTGTTTTTTACCCATTTGTTTTGAATCCATCGCTTGGATGCTAGGGCCCCTTATACAGCAAAGTAGCCTTGGCTCACGGGGGGGCAAGAATGCATAAAGGTCCCAGGAGAAGATACTGACAGCACTCCTGGAACAAGGAAACTGGAGGGGCCTCAGGCTTGGGGTTGTCAAGCCTCCTTCCCTCGAGGGATCGGGGTCCCTGCACCTACCGCCCCTGAGCTGCTCTCCCTGCCCCTTGCATCCAGGCCTCTTCTTCTTCACCCTGCTCTTCTATGCGCTCTCCATCGCGGCCGTGGCCCTGCTCTTCGTCTACTACACCCACCCTGGCGCCTGCCACGAGGGCAAGATCTTCATCAGCCTCAACCTGGTCTTCTGTGTGTGTGTCTCCATCGTCGCTGTGCTGCCCAAGGTCCAGGTGAGCAGCCCATCAGCATGGCCTCTCGGGCGGAGCACCCCTGGGAGGAGTCCTACAGCCCGGCTGGGCCGAGAATGCCTAGAATCGCAGCACTCGAGAGGCTGAGGCAGGAGGGCGGCTGTGAGTTTGAGGCCAGTCTGACCACAAAGCGAGTTAAGGGCCAGCCTGAATGACGGTTGACACCTGGTCTCAGAAGGAAAGAAAAAAAGACAGACAGACAGACAGACAGACAGACAGACAGACAGACAGACAGACACCAAGACTGACCTCCAGGGCCTGCGCTGTGTTGTGGGTTCCCAGAAGGCCTCTCAGGCTCAGAGTGTCGGTTCTCACATCAGCATGCTGGCTGCATTTGGCAAAGCATGTCAACCACGAATACGAGGTGTTGCTAAGGGTTGCTAAGGGTACTGACACGAGCCATTTGGAGTTCCTCTCAGGAGTAACTCTTGGAGCAGGGCCTGGCAGATAGGTGCCAACCAGTGTGTGTGTGTGTGTGTGTGTGTGTGTGTGCACGCTCACGCGCACTAGATTCATTGATGTCATTTTCACTTTCAGGCAAGTGAGGAAAGTGTTAGAGAGAGTCGGAGCATGCAAGGAAGGGCAGGGCCACCGTGTCCCAGCCACAGGGTGGTGCCCCCAAGGGGCCACTTCTCCTTTGGAGGCACCTCTGCCCTCCTCCCCCTCCTCTCTGTCCAGTGGTACTTCCCAGCACCACAGGCGGGGTCTCCCAGGAAGCTGGGGGTGGGGGTGGGGGTCGGGGTCATTGTCCGCTAGCAGGAAAGTCAGGAGCCCCCTCTTGTGCTGTGAGCATCCATTTCCGGTAAGAAAGTCGAAGTCCCAAGAGGGCAGGAGCTGTCCAGCCCCAGCAGCTGGGCTTGTTGGGCGAGGGCCTCTGGAGCCCCTGTGTGCCCCGCCCTGGGCTGGAGCAGGCATAGACTGTGAGCAGGGAGACGAGGGTGACAGTGACAGCCCCCAGCCCTCGGCATGGTCCTGTCTGCCATCTGGCCTGCCTGCCATCGTCCTCCCCACTTGCCATGCACAGACAGAGGCTTAAAGGCAGAGAGAGACTCACATTAGTTGTCACATGCCTGTGTGGGGAGGGGAAGGAGGGACAAGCGCCAGGGCCCGGGGCCAAGTGAGTTGCTTTTTGGTTGTAAGTGTTATGTGGAAAATAGAAGCAGGTGTGGGTAAACAGCTAGTGGACTGGTAGAACTGGGGTCCTCAGGGCCTCATGGCAGGTGCCATTTGAGGACTAAAGATGGGCTGCCTACAAGGACAAAGCCGGAAAGAGTGTGCCAAGGAGTGTCACAAGCAGGCCTAGTGCCACATGCCTATAATCTCTGCAGGAGGCTGAGGCAGGAGGACTGCAAGTCCAAGTCCTACCAGACATTATAAAAAGGAATGGTGATGTAGGTCAGTGTAAAAGCCCTGCTCTCAACCCTAGTACTACAAGTGGGGGTGGGGGTGGGAGAGGCCTTGGCAGGTTCCATTAGATGTGGCTCTTGGGGGGTTTTCAGAAGGGAGGAAGTGGGATAATCTGAGGCCAACGAGAGCCGTGCTTTTGGGTACTGAGGGGGCCACTGAGCCAGCGTGATGGTGCATGACAGTTGTTCCAGCGCTCAGGAGGCTGAGGCAGAAGGATTGCCATGCACTTGAAGCCAGCCTGGGCTACAGAGTGAGCTCAAGGCCAGCCTGCACTGTGTAGCAAGACCTTGCCTCCAAAAGAAAAATAACAGAGGGGGAAACTACCCCCTCGGGTCCCCCCTCCTGTCCCTCTCTCGGGACAGGAACTTTCTTTCTCTCAATAAATATATTCTGCTCATAAAAAAGAAAAAGAAAAAGAAAAGAAATATAACAGAGGGTGGTGAGTGACCCTCTGGAGTGGGTGAGACATGCCTGGGGCAGGTGGCGTGTCCGAGGTTGGTGGGCTTGGGCTGGGTGGGAGTGGGATGTCCCCACCTGGCAGGGGTCTAAGCAGCCAATGGCTCTCACCAGGAAGCCCAGCCCAACTCAGGTCTGCTGCAGGCCTCGGTCGTCACACTCTACACCATGTTTGTCACCTGGTTGGCCCTGTCCAATGTCCCTGGTAAGTACGGTCCCAGGTCTGGCCTCTGAGAGCCTGGACCTCCCAGCTCCCTTGCATCCTGAATCTCAGCCCTTCAGGGAGGTGGGGGAGTTGTCTGGGCTGGAGTTGTCTGTGCTAAGTCCCGCCTGCTACTGGGCCTGGCTGGCCAGGTCTGTCTGTCTGTCTGTCTGTCTGTCTGTCTGTCTGTCCATCCATCACCAGGACTGGCTCCAGCCCATGGTGATGGTACACCTGTCCCCAGACCAGGAATGTAACCCGCACTTGCTGACCCAGCTCGGCAACGAGACTGTGCTGGCCGGCCCCGAGGGCTATGAGACCCAGTGGTGGGACGCACCCAGCATCGTGGGGCTGATTGTCTTCATCCTGTGCACCCTCTTCATCAGGTGTTGTGCTCTGATCACTGGGGCGGGTCAAACGGGGCCCAGAGCTGGGAGGGATCGCACAGGAGCAGGGGCAGCGCCCGCCCGGTGCCTCAGCAGGCAGTGTCCAGCCTGGGCTGTGCTGTCAAGGAAGCCCAGGCCTCCCGAGGTCACAGCCAGCAAAGCAGGGCTGTGTCCAGGCCACCTCCCTCCAGCTCAGTGGGGTGCAGACATCTGTGGGGTCAGGGAGGTCCTGGGACTGGAAACAGCGGGCCCAGGCTTTGTGTCTCACCTGCAGTGTGGCCATGAATAAGTGGCTTAACCTTTCTGAGCCTCAGTTCCTTCTTCAGTAAGAGGAGAGGGGGAGCTCCATAGTGTTGGAGGTGGCTGGGATTCCTTAATCTACCCTGAGAGAAGGCAGCTCATGCTGCTGAGGATCACGCAGGGACATCATGCCTTTCTGTCTGTGACACTGAATCCTGAACCTAAGAAAAGCACAAAGCTACACCTCTAGCTTTTCTTTCTGACATTTTTTTTTTTCAGAACCGGGAATCGAACTCAGGGCCTTGCACTTGTCAGGGAAGCGCTTATTCCACTGAGCCATCTCCCCGGCCCCAAAATTTTATTTAATGTTTACTTATTTATCAGGAGGCTGAAGCAAGAAAATAGCTGAGTTCAAGGCCAGCCTGAGCTATGTAGTGAGACCCTCTCTCAAAAAAACAAAAAAGACAGATGTGGTGATGCATGCTTGTAATCCCAGCACTCAGGGATTACTGAGGATTACTGAGAGTTTGAGACCAGCCTGGGCTGTAAAGTGAGCTCAAGGCCAGTCTGGACTAGAGAGCAAGACCCTTTATCAAAAAGACCAAAAAAAAATGCCAGGTGTGGTGGCACACACCTGTAATCTCAGCACTCAGGAGGCTGAGCCAGGAGGATTGCTTTGAGTTTGAGGCCTGCCTGGGTTACAAAGTGAGTTCAAGGTCAGCCTGAATTGTATAGTGAAACCTTGGCTCAAAAAAAAATTTTTTTTTTCAATTTATTTGGGGGCTGGCCAAATAGCTCAGTGGATTAAAGCACCTGCAAGCAGGTGCAGGAGCCAGGTTTCGATCCCCAGGCCTGCCGTGCCAGCATGCACCTGTAATCCCAGCTCTTGGGAGGCTGTAAACAGGTGGATCACTACAAGTCTGATCAGTCTGATCTAGTAGTGAGACTCTGAACACCCTGTAGATCCTTCCCTAAAATACAAAAAAAAAAATTGGGATAGGTGCTTGCTCTGTACCCCAGAACTTTAATTCTCCTATCTTCTCACCGCCACCCCCCCCAGGTATTAGAAATACAGATTTTTTTTTTTTTTTTTTTTTTTTTTGAGACAGGATCTCAGGAAATTGCCCAAGCTGGCCTCAGATTTGTGAGCCTCCTGCCTCAGCCTTCTGAGGAGCTGAGAGCACAGTAGTGTGACACCACCCCCGGCTGACCACACCCAGCAGCACTGCCATTGCTTTCAAAGGGACACTGCCTGCCTGCCTCTGACCCTGGCACCACCACCTTGCTAGCAGGATGATCGTGGGAGGTCATTTAACCTCTCCGTGCTGTGGTTTTCTCACGAGTAAAGTAGGGATAAAAATAGGGCTGTCTCACTGGATTGCCAGAGGGCTAGGGCACGAAGAGGCTCTGTGTACAAGACCCAGCAAGGGGCTCGCCTAGGCATAGGCGCCACGCAGGTGCTGGGTATTGCTGCAGTAGCTGACTGTCGCACTGCTGGGGTGTCAGTGGCTTTGTGTTACTCTGGGGTCCTGATTTGATCTCATTGTTGACATTGGCTCTGGCTGCCAGAGTTCGCCTTCTTGGGCAGGCCATGTGCTTGCACTCCCTGGAGGGAGACCCAGCTCCACCCTCCTGCTGCCTGGCGCCCTCTCCCTTCCCCTCCTGGACAGGAGGCTCAGCTTGGGGACTCTTCCGGTGCCCCAAGGTGCTGGCTGCTCTCAGGGCAGCTTTTTTTTTTTTTTTTTGTGGAACTGGGGATTGAATTCAGGCCCTTGAGCTTGCCAGGAAGCATTTAGTCTCTACTGAGCCATCTCCCTGGCCCCCCAGGGTAGCTTTTTTGTTGATTTGTTTTCAGTCCTAGGGATTGAACCCAGGCCCTTGATGCTGAGTTACATCCCCAGCTCTTTTTCTCATTCTTTATTTTGAGACCGATTTTCACCACGCAACCCAGGTTTGTACTGGAGATCCTCCTGCCTCTGCCTCCCAGACTCCTGGGATTCCGGGCAGGCACCACTACTCCTGGTTTAGTTTAACTGTGAAAGCTCAGGGCGGGTGGGGGCAGCTCCAGTAGTCGTGGTCAGAGTCCCTGAAACTCAGCCAGTTTTGTGGGGTAGAGCTGTGACCCAGAGCTGCTTTTGTATTTTTTTTTTCAAAATATAGTTTGCTTTCTCAAAACTGTATAGATCTCAGACTGTTAAATTCTGTTTAAAACATCATAGAGAACTTACGACATACGTCATAACTATGACTAGTTCCTCTTTTTAGTGCCAGCATGAAGGGAGGCAATCGTTAAGTTACCTAAGAAGACTAATAAAACTTAAAGTTAATGGTAGATGAGCACTGCCAATGATTAACTTTATTTATTTATTTATTTTTAATTTGTCTTCTTTTTTTTTTTGGCAGAACCGGGGATTGAACTCAGGCCCTTGCGCTTGCCAGGGAAGCGCTTATTCCACTGAGCCATCTCCCCAGCTCCCTTTTTATGAATTTTTTTTTTTTTGGTGGTACCGGGGATTGAACTCAGGACCCTGCACTTGCCAGGCAAGCACTTATTCTACTGAGCTATCTCCCTGGCCCTGATTAACTTTATTAATTACTGCGGCAGCGCCCGGGCTGCTGCTTTGTAGTGCTAGGCACTTAATGTACGTTTGTGGAAGTGACATAAGGACAGTCATCATAATGATGATTTCTGGGGACTGGGATGGGGCCCAGGGGTGCTCCTGATCCTTTCTATTTTGAGGTAAGAGTCTTACCAAGTTGCCCACACTGACCCTAAGTGTGTTACCCTCCTGCCTCAGCCTCCTGCGTGGCTGGGCTTACAGGCCAGCTGCACCGCACCCAGCAATAGTGACCGCCTGGTTTCCTCTCCGTGCCTGGCACAGCACCGGGATCTCCACAGCACTGTTGCATTGGGTTTTCCCACCGCCCTGCGAACAACGCCGTTATTCCCAGTTTTTTAGATGAGGGATTAGAGGCTCAGAGAGGCCGAGTGTACTATTCATGGTCACACAGGGAGTTGGGGGGGGATTGAGTCAACATGGTTTGGTGCAAGGGGCCACCACCACTCGCCGCCACCTCCCTCGGCAGCAGGGGCCCTGACCGCATCCTTCTCTCCACAGTGTGCGCTCCTCCGACCACCGACAGGTGAACAGCCTGATGCAGACCGAGGACTGCTCCATCGCGCTGCAGACCACGCAGCAGCAGCAGCAGCAGGGGGCTGCCTGCGAGAACCAGGTTTTTGACAACGAGCAGGAAGGTGTCACCTACAGCTACTCTTTCTTCCACTTCTGCCTGGTGCTGGCCTCCCTGCACATCATGATGACGCTCACCAACTGGTACAGGTGCGCACAGCCCGGCGGGCAGGGGTGGCTCGCGGTGCCAGGCACCCTCCCTGGTGGCCCAGTGCTGCTCCAGGATGGGGGTCAGGTCTGTCCCTGGCCCGCTGCAACTTCCCTGCCCATGCCTCAGAGTCTGTGCAGCTCCTCTTGCCTTCACAAAGGGACAAGGAGGGGTGTCCCAGGAGGGGTCGGGCCTCTGCAGGGCCACTGGGCTTACAAATCAGGGGTGGATTCATTTGGCATTCAGGTGGGAGGTTTGGATTGGAGTGTGGAGCTCAGAATCAAAAGCACAAGGTCAAGAATAGGAGTCATGAGGTCCAGGGCTGGGGTGGGGCCAAATAGTGTCATAGCCTGACTGTTATTAGAACTGTTGTGTAGCAGTCAACACACACACACCTGCCAGAGCTCGGTCATTTGGTTGAAATTGGGTTTGGGAGGCCATAAAGCCAGTATTGAAGTGGTGGGTGAAGAAGTTAAGGTTAGGGTAATTAAGTTCAGGGGTCAAGGTGAAGTTGTAGGATCAAGGGTCAAAGTCAAGGTCAGAGAGATCGGGACTAAGGTCAGGAGCTGCAGGATTGTAAAGTCAGGGACTAAAGGTAAGGTCCAAGAATTAGGATCACAAAATTAGAGAGTAGCAGTCAGGTCATAATTTCATGGTCTGGGACTGGGATCAGGACCAAGCTTAGAATTGAGAGGTAGGTGTGGTGGTGCATGCCTGTGATCCCAGCACTTGGGAGGCTGAGGCAGGAGGATTGCTTTGAGTTTGAGGCCAGCCTCAACTACATAGCAGGAACCTGCTTCAAAATGGAAAACAAAAGTGTCTGGGACTATCGCTCAATGAGAAGGCCCTGGGTTCAATTCCCCAGCACTGGTGGTGGAGGTGGAACCTGCTTCAAAAAAAAAAAAAAAAAAGGAAAGATCAAAGTTGAGGTCAGAGTCAGGTCTGTGGTACAAGCCCCACCGCTTTGTCCAGGGTCCCGGAGCCAAGAGGCTAAAGCTTTAGAGACAGGGGCTGGAGTTCTATCGTAAGAGCGAGTGTGGAAGTCAGGGGTCTCAAGGAGGTGATAAACTCAGGGCCTGCGACGAAGGTCACAAGGGAGATGTGTATTGCAGGCCTGGGGAGACACACAAGATGATCAGCACATGGACCGCTGTGTGGGTCAAGATCTGTGCCAGCTGGGCGGGGCTGTTCCTCTACCTGTGGACCCTGGTGGCACCCCTGCTCCTGCCCAACCGCGACTTCAGCTGAGGCAGTCCCTACAGCCTGCCTACCTAGTGGTACCTTGGGCTCATGACAGCCAAGTGCCCTCTCCCTGCACCCCATCAGCCAAGCTGAGCTGCCCCCTCAGGACTGGCCTTCAAGCTGGGCCACCCATACCCAGTGCCTTCAGGTCTGAGGGACAGCAGGCTGACCCGTGCCCTGCCTCCTGCCGCCCAGACCACAGAGCTGCCTCTTCTCTCCTTGCCTGGTCACCCACACGCCCGTCTTGGGATGGAAGCCCCCCCATCTCTGGAGGGGACTGGCAGAGAGGTACCCAGAGTCACACAGAGAGCAGCAAGCACTCTGGTGCCCAGCGCTGAGCCCGCTGTTCCCAGCCCAGCCCCTTCCTGGACTATGTGCCTTAGCAAGTCTCTGAGACTTTGCCAATAAACACAACTGAGCGTGTGTCTCCCCACTTGCCGTGTCCCTCGCCCTCAGTGCAGGGCTGGAGGCAGAAGTCAGGCCTGGCCTCTGTCCCCCAGGTTGTGGAGGGGCTGGGAGTTGAGGGCCAGGAGGAAGGAGGGGCCAACCAGGGTATTGGGAGGAGGGACCCTGGGCCCAGGGGAGGAAGAGGAGGTGGTGGGACCTTTGGGGTTTGTTTAGTGGGGCAAGGAGCATGACCGTGCTACTGTGGCTCATTTCCATGGTGAGAACCCAGCCACACCCTCATCCTGCTCCTGCCCAACCTCACCCTGCTCCACCCTGCTCCTGCTGCAGTGGGCACTGACACCTGCCTTGGAACAGGCGCTCTGCAGAATGCAGAGAAGATCAGCCGAGCCTCAGGCCTCGGGCACCCGGGAAGCTCCCGTGCCCTGATGTCACTGAGTCAGCCTGGCTCCCCGCATCGTGGGAGCTGTGGGGCTCATGTGGCCCCTGTCCTGGTTCCCCATCATCAGTGGGGAGCTGCACCCCCACTGTAGGCTGTTGTGCCCACCAAGCAGCCTCTGCACAGTGGGATCTCAGCAGGTGTCAGGAGGCCACACCAGCTCCTGGCTCCCCTGCCCCCACCCTGACTGGCCAGCATGGCTTCCCTTCCCCTGGTGGGTGGCCAAATAGGAGGGGACGAATAGCTGCATGCCTGGGTCATAGTGTGAATGTAGGGAAGAAGGCAGCCTAGGAGCCTGTGGGGCCACCCCAGAGGCAGGCACTGGGCCGGGAGAGGGGCATGGGGAGCTGGGCCCAGGGGTGACGGAGCCCAGGCGGAGGGGATAGCACCTGGGGTCCAAGGGCTGATGAAAAGGGCAAGGTGGCTGGGCGTGGGAGGCACTGGGTGCAGGGAAGTGTGAGCTGGGAGGGACGAGCTGGCCAGGTCACACAGGCCTGTGGGGGCCCTGGAGGGGAGGCAGGCGCCGCCCTGCAGGTAGAGGGGCTTTGTGCAGGGCAGCAGCATGAAGGCGGAGGATGGAGCGGGGCGCTTTAGGGCTAGGATGCTTCCCTGGGTGAAGAAGCAGAGAGCAGCTCAAGGTGGGGCAGAGGGCGGGCACCTGCGGCTGGCTGCCCAGACTGGTCCTGAGGATGCTCTGTCCCCTGGCCTCCCTGCGGGAGAGACCCAGCTCTACAGGACAGACTGGGCACAGATATCCCTGTGTTTCTCCTTTGGTGACCTTTTCTGCACTTGCACAAGTGACTCATTTTGTCCTGCAGATGTAGTATTGTTGCTTGTGGCTTTCTCGGTTATTCACTCAGCAAACAACTGAGCAGGAGTTATAACCCAGGGAGGGGATAGGCTCGGGCAGTTCTGGGATGGACGGAAGGGCCCAGGGTGGGGCCTCTGCTTCTGGGAAGCTGCCTGACCCCTCAGCCTGAAAGGCTTTTCCTCCATCTCCATGGCGCATGTTTCCTCCGCAAGGCCTCCGTTACACTCGCAAACCTGGTGGCGGGGAGGGGACATCAGGCCTGGCCCACTTCCCGCCGCTGCCTGAAGGCCACTCGGCCCATCTGCTGGGTGTTCCTGACCGCTGCTGCCCAGCACCATGGCTCCCTCATGTCCTCTATCCCTTGTCCCTCAGCCCCTTCTTTCCTTCACCTCCTCTCCCTGTTACCTCCCCTTTCTGGTTACCTCCTCTCCACATGCTTCCCTGTCACTCCCCTCACCTTTGCTTTGCCACCCCTTTGTGGGGGAAGCCCATGGGACCCCAGCTCTTTTGTCTCCTGGGCCTGATGGACTCATGGAGGGGAGGGGCTGCTCTTGGCCCTGAGGACCTGTGCTCTGCCTGTGGACACCTGCCGTCACTGTCCCCAGGCCTGGGCTGCTATTACTGCAGAGGTGCCTGGTGCCTTAGCCCTATCTGTCCTGGGCATCTCTGTGCTCAGGCTGTGGGGTGCTGTTCAGGCACAGAGAATGCAAAGCTCACAGGTCATGTGGGGAAACAGAGGCAGGTGGGGCACTGCGATGAGCCTGAGGCCCGGCTAGGTCCGCACACACCACTCATTGTGTGACCTCAGGCCGGTTGCTGGGCTTTAGTTTCCGTTTCCATAAAATGGCAACAGTGACTGCCTTGTATAAAGCCCTGTGCCTTCATGTGTGGACAATGTGCTTAGCATGCAGACATTCCCTACTCCCTCTCCCCTTTCCGCCTTTGTCTTAAAGGCTGGAGGGACCACCTGGCCATTTTGCAGCTTCTCTGAGAGTGGGGGTGCGGGGCGTACAATGGTTGGGCTCACTGGATTTTACTGGATATGCTGAGGAACATTTCCACAAGTATCTGCGGTTATGAGGCACTGCTGGTTCCCCTATTTGGTTGAGTGACTGACTGACTCATTGATTGAGGTACTAGGGATCGAATCCAGGGCCTTCACAGTGAGCTACTTCTCCAGTCCTTCTTTGAGCCAGAACCTCAGTAAACTGCCCAGACAGTATTCAAACTTGCAATCCTCCTGCCTCAGCCTTCCAGAGTGCTGGGTGTATAAGTATGCACCACCACACCCTGCTCCCCTTTTCTCAACATAAAAGGATGCTGAGGTTGCAGCAGTTGTTTTGGGACAATGAGGCAACAAACAAGGAAGAGGAATCAACATGATGATGGTGGCAGTTCAGAAAAGGAAGCGAGTAGATCCTCAGTGCACCTGGGAGCTGCTGGGCCAGCTCTGCTGTGCCGGCTTCAGAAAACAAACCCCAGTGCACTGAAGCCCTGGTAGCTGGGTTGAGAGTTTCTTACAGCCAAATGTACTTATCACTGATACAGTTAGTAAGATGTTCGTTACTTTTAGTGATAATAGAAAACAGTAAGCAGGAGAGACTTTGCTGTGTTGCTCAGGACAACGGGGAGCAATAGCGCGTAGAGCACGCACACACACACACAGAATACAGCTATCATGTATGTTCCTATAATATACTTGTATGATTGCTAACAGGAGGAACTGCTGAGGGTATTTGAAGAAAGTCTGGGCCTGGTTGCCCTGGGGGAGGTTAGAAGGGCAGTGGGGAGCCGCAGAAACATTACCTGAAGAACACACAGGCAGTCCACCTCCTCCCCTATTCTGGGTGCCATGCCTCCCCTATTCTTGGTGGGGAGCTGGATCCCAGAGGGAACTTGAGCTCGGTGGGTTCTGGGCGCAAGGTGGGTGCACTGTGCCCTGTTGAGCTGGGAGCTGGTCAGACTGCAGAGGACGAGAAGCAGCCTCCAGCCTGCCCCAGGTGCCCTCCTCGTGGATGGCCTGGGAGGCTGCCACCCCGGTGGGCTGCTGCAGGAGCTAGCAGGCTGGCGCCCAGTGACACCGGCTTCTCTTTTCTTGGCCCACTGCCCCGCTGCCCTGTGTGACCCAAGGACCTCACGGCCCTGGGGGGCAGGGGGAGGGCATGGAGCACAGCTGAGGTTGGCTTTCCTGGCAGCCTGGTAGAGGGGACCTTTGGACAGAAGGAAAGTTGATCTAAAGCAAATAACAGATGTTCTATTTCTTTTTTTTTTTAATTTTTAAAATTTTTTTTTAAATTTTATTTATGTGTGTGTGTGTGTGTGTGTGTGTGTGTGTGTGTGGTCAGCTCAGCCCACCAGGGGGTGGGTTGGCTGGCATGTGGTGCTGGGGGATTGAACCGCGGTCCCTGTGCTTTGCTGAGCTTGTTCTAAGTAGGTACTTTAGACCACTGAGCCATCTCACCAGCCCCATATGTTCTGTTTCTTGCACATCTGAATCAAGCTTCACATTCATTTTGTAGTAATGTGAGGTATACTGTATGTTTATGGTGAAATAGTTCCACAGAAACAGTACAGGAGTGTAGGCAACGTTAACCTACATTAATTTTAAGCAACAGCGTAGGATTCTATTGGATGTATATTCTTTTTGGTGTGCTGCTGTGAACTGAACCCAGGGCCTTTGCACCCAACTATGTATTTATTCATTCTTTTTATTTTTTGAGACTGTCTCACTCAGTGTTTAAGTTTCCTGGGCTGGCTTGGATTTGCACACTCCCCTGTGCACCACTGCGGCCAACCAGAGAGTCTACAAGTTATTTAATAAGTCTCAACCGATGGGCATCTATGTGGGTGTCAGCGCTTTGTCACTCTGTTTTTGCTGACCCCAGTCACTGGCTGCTTCTGGCCACTTGTGGTGGCAGGAAGGACACAGGCCCAGGGCCCAGCTCCTCTAGGTTCTCGGCTCAGTGTTGCCCCAGGCCGTGGCCAGTTCTTGGGGTCTCGGTCTCCCCAGCTGCAGTATGGGGACTGTACTAGCACCTGTGCCGAGGGCTGTCCAGGGTCAGTGAGGCGCCTGTAAAGGGTCTGGCACTGTGCTGGGCAGAGTAGGGAGCAAAGAAAGGGTGGCTCTGCCCACTCTGGCGGTCAGTCCTTGTGGACAACAGAAAGGCCTAGCAAACAGATGAGGCCCCCTCAGCCTTCCCCGTGCTTCGGGGGACACCTGGCCTTTGCCAGGTGGTAGGAGGTGGAGAGAAAAACAACACAGAAGCCAGTGCTTCCCGTGCATCTCCTGCGTCCCCAACCAGGAGCTTTAATTCCTGCCCCCATGGGCTTGTGCACGGGAAAGAAATGCACAAGAGAAGGGCAAGGCAGAGTCTTTAGAGCCCAGTCTGAGCCCCTGTCCCCTTAGCGCATGCCGTATTTCTCTACATAGCCCTTCCTCCTTCCCTCCCTCCCTCCCTCTCCTTCTTTCTTATTATCCCCTTCTTCCTCTTCCTCTCTCTGTTTGAGATGAGGTTTTGCTATGTATTGCCTTGAACTCACAGCAATCCTCTTGCCTCAGCCTCCTGAGTGCTGAGATTACAAACATGCGTGCACACCCCTTATTACCAGGTGTAACTGTGCATCCATTAGTGTAATCTTCAGTGACTCCTCTGGTGGCCCCTAAGTTTAGTGAAGACTTGTTATATGCCAGGAGCCAACTCAACATTTCCTTACATGATGTCACCCAACTCTTTTTTTTTTTTTTTATTTTTCAAAAAATAACACACT